GCCTTTTTACTGTATTCATAAGGAAGATATTCTGGTAATTTCAGCAAAATAAATTTATCCGACATTACCTAAAGTTTAAATTTTTTTGAAATAATGCAGAAGATTTGTAGATCTGGTTGATGTTTGCCACGTAGTTGTGTTCTGTGACCTAGACGCTTTAATTTTGAAGCTTCCATTATTCTTCTGGACAACATCTTCAGTGCTTACTTCAGTCTGAAGCATAAATCCTATTAAACTTATTCTTTTCTAAAGTATCTTCAGTCTATGGTTTCGGTTACAATTAAAGATTGATAAAATAAATATCTTTCCAATAATACTGAACTAGGAATGAATACCTTTCAAATGAAAAACTGTTGTCATTTGGCTAGCTACTAGAAAAATTTAGTACTGATGAATAATGCTTGAGAAAGTTATTCAGTCTGCTTGAATAAGAAGCGTCTACAAATATTTCCAAATATGTAGTTTTGAATCAAGGAGTGAATTATCAACTTACATGTTGAACTCACACTGATGCCAAAACTTCGTATCTGTAGATGAATAAGACAGTGGAAATATAACTGGAAATAAAGAGGAGAACAGCACAATAAGAAGAAGTGTTCATTGAAAACCTACATCAACGGGCCAGTACACACATTTTCTCAGCTTTGTGTCCTTGAAATACAAACGCAATCTAATAAAGTGCTTGGTCAACAGAGCAAGAGAGATTTGCTCGGATGAATGTCTTGATGAGGAACTTAACAATATTAAACGGTTGCTAAGTGAGAATGGTTATCCCGAAAAGTTTATTGATAAGAATATGAATCTGAAACCAAAACAGCCTAAGTTAGCAACAGTTACAAAAAAGGCCTTGTTCCTACAGATGCAGTTCCTAGAAGAAAACACCAGTGAGATACTAACACAGCGCCTTAGAAATGCGGTAAAAAGAGCATTCCCAGAATAGTGTCCACACGAATATACTGTGTACACAGTTGCATTAGCGATGTTTCCGAGAGTTGGGCGAAATTCATAATATACTGGTGACATTGTGTGGGTGACGAAATACCAAAATTATAGATAAGTAGACTACTATGTGCTTTCGTTTAAATTTTCTATTTTATTCAATCTTAGTGGGACGTTTGGAGTCCAAGTGTTTCAATGTGAAAGTTTTTTGTGTTTGTTTAGGTAGGTCTATCTATACCACTGCGTTTGGTTCCTAAATTGTTGTTATCAACCTTGGTCTTTTACGTCACACAATTGCATCAATCATGTACAGTATACTTAAAGGTTCCTAAAGTATTTCAATTAGATTCCATATTAGTTTGTTTATTAGATATATCACTGTGAAACAGTATTACTTATTGGATATGTGATATTTCTAATAAACAAAGTAATATGAAACTACATACTACCACAGTACTTAAGTTTCACACATATAGTTATATCAATTAGACCCTTTGATGTACAGCTAACCCGAGCTAACAACACGACTACGGACCTGACCTATTTTCTCTTTTCCTTCCCACCAGGTCGGAACAACCTTAGAGGACATAGCAGGAGAGTTCAAAAGCAAAGAAGAAATCATATTGCTGTTGAGTACTGGTTCTCACACCGAGTCATAAACTCTTGGAACCGACTCCCAGAAGAAGTGGTGTCTGCAACCTCAGTTGATTCGTTCAAGAAGGGTTTGGACAACCACAGAAATTTACTAGAAAAGGATTAACATAGGCTCCAAGCCTTCTATCCTCAACCAATAAATCTGAAGTGTTGTGAAGATGCATACACACCGTCTACTCAACCTGTCACAGTATCAAGTAGGAGAAGGGAACGCCGAGTATCATCAGTGCTAAAGTCTCTTGAAAATGAAGATGGCCTTCTCTCTCAGCCTCGTTTGTCGATGTCACTGCCTCCATCCTTGAAATCTCTACTTGTAGATGATTGGGATTTGATTACTCGTCAGGCTCGGCTTTATGAACTGCCTGCCTCCCAGCCAATATGTAATGTTTTATCAGACTTCTTAGAAGCTTCTGAGGCTGAAATTATTAAGTCAGAATCAACTTGTGAAATAAAAGACTGCACTTCTTCTGAACCGGAGAACTCTCAGGTAGATACTACTAAGTTGCCAATATACCCGGGTGTACGGCGTGAATTTGTTGCCGAAATTCAGCATCTTTTCAATCTTACTATTGGGTCTCATCTTTTATACGAATTCGAACGATTACAATATGCTGAGCTACTGAAACATCATACAGATAAGAGAATGTCAGACATTTATGGTTCGATTCACTTGCTGAGGTTGTTTGTTAAACTCCGAGATATGGTTTCATACCTCCGAGTCGATGATCATAGTCTCCCTATGCTAGAAGCTTCAGTTGCTGAGTTTTTGCAGTCGTCTATTTCTGTGCGCTACCGTCCATCTGCATACGCGACAACTCCGCCTCCGTCTCCTTCATTGTTTGCTTTATGCGAAAAATGGGCAAGCACAGAAATCACTTTTTCCCTAGGTGCAATAGTTACCAGTAATAGAGAAGTTTTTGGATCCAGTTGGTTGAATATTCTATCGATTGCATCTGGATTGATTCATGAAACAGCTGAAGAAGTTGGTTGGTCTTCGCCTAGTCGAATTCCAATAATCGCTGTATCTGAGGCATGCGGACAGCTTTCAATCATGTTTCCGATAACCAGATGTAACTATGGGTGTCAATCTGTTGAGAAAAAAGTAAATTTTGTTCTAATCGACGAAACTGATATCACTTTGTCGGAGTTGGCATACATGAGAATGTAATGTTCTCATGTATGCCAACTCCGACAAAGTGATATCAGTTTCGTCGACTAGAACAAAATTTACTTTTTTCTCAACAGATTGACACCCATAGTTACATCTGGTTATCGGAAACATGATTGAAAGCTGTCCGCATGCCTCAGATACAGCGATTATTGGAATTCGACTAGGCGAAGACCAACCAACTTCTTCAGCTGTTTCATGAATCAATCCAGATGCAATCGATAGAATATTCAACCAACTGGATCCAAAAACTTCTCTATTACTGGTAACTATTGCACCTAGGGAAAAAGTGATTTCTGTGCTTGCCCATTTTTCGCATAAAGCAAACAATGAAGGAGACGGAGGCGGAGTTGTCGCGTATGCAGATGGACGGTAGCGCACAGAAATAGACGACTGCAAAAACTCAGCAACTGAAGCTTCTAGCATAGGGAGACTATGATCATCGACTCGGAGGTATGAAACCATATCTCGGAGTTTAACAAACAACCTCAGCAAGTGAATCGAACCATAAATGTCTGACATTCTCTTATCTGTATGATGTTTCAGTAGCTCAGCATATTGTAATCGTTCGAATTCGTATAAAAGATGAGACCCAATAGTAAGATTGAAAAGATGCTGAATTTCGGCAACAAATTCACGCCGTACACCCGGGTTTATTGGCAACTTAGTAGTATCTACCTGAGAGTTCTCCGGTTCAGAAGAAGTGCAGTCTTTTATTTCACAAGTTGATTCTGACTTAATAATTTCAGCCTCAGAAGCTTCTAAGAAGTCTGATAAAACATTACATATTGGCTGGGAGGCAGGCAGTTCATAAAGCCGAGCCTGACGAGTAATCAAATCCCAATCATCTACAAGCAGAGATTTCAAGGATGGAGGCAGTGACATCGACAAACGAGGCTGAGAGAGAAGGCCATCTTCATTTTCAAGAGACTTTAGCACTGATGATACGCGGCGTTTCCTTCTCCTACTTGATACTGTGACAGGTTGAGTAGACGGTGTGTATGCATCTTCACAACACTTCAGATTTCAGATTCAGATTTATTGGTTGAGGATAGAAGGCTTGGAGCCTATGTTAATCCTTTTCTAGTAAATTTCTGTGGTTGTCCAAACCCTTCTTGAACGAATCAACTGAGGTTGCAGACACCACTTCTTCTGGGAGTCGGTTCCAAGAGTTTATGACTCGGTGTGAGAACCAGTACTCAACAGCAATATGATTTCTTCTTTGCTTTTGAACTCCCCTGCTATGTCCTCTAAGGTGTTCCGACCTGGTGGGAAGGAAAAGAGAAAATAGGTCAGGTCCGTAGTCATGTTGTTAGCTCGGGTTAGCTGTACATCAAAGGGTCTAATTGATATAACTGTAGGATTTACTTCGACCTAACAATAACCTCTCTTACAAACTCCACTGTTTATGACCTTATTTAGTACTCTGCCTACGTGCAAGTACTAAAGAACGGAATCAAAGTTAAAAGACTCGAAATGGCAAGTTTAACTGGACCGGAATTGTATTCACACAAAGAGATATGGAATTTGATAAGAAATAAAAAGTACACACTTATTTGGGGGTGAGACGGTTGTCAGCTCGTAGAGTATACTAGGTGAAAGTACAGCGAGTTCTCTGCCAAAGGTGCTATACCTCGCTTCAGCGGCGGACAACTTCCGAGAGAAAAAGGCAACTGGTATCCATGAAGTATGTACCAGTTGCTGTAAAACAGCTCCAATGGCTGTGTTAGATGCATCAACTGAGATGCTAAGCGGAAGATGGACGTCTAGGTGGACTAACATGGTGGCGTCTGCAATTGCCGACTTAATATTCTGGAAGGCTTCTCGAGCATCTGGTGTCATGCTGAACGTTTGGCTCTTGCTCTTAAGTAGGTTTGTAAGTGCCAGTAAAATATGTGCACATTGGGGAACAAACCGTCGGTAATAACTCACCATGCCGAGAAATGTGCGCAAAGATTTTATTGACGTATGTTCCGGGAAGTCGCGTATTGCCTGCACCTTCTCAGGTAGCGGGCGAATTCCCTGTTCATTAATGACATGTCCCAGGAAGGTCAATAAATGGACGCCAATCTGACATTTGGACATGTTAAGTGTCAAACCATGGGCTGTTAACCGTTCGAAAACCATCTGTAGATGCGTACGGTGGCTAGCTTCGTCTGGGCTAGCCACGAGAATATCGTCGAGGTAAGCATATGCGCAATCTAATCCGCGCAAAACATCGTGAATAAATCGCTGGAATGTTTGTGCGGCGTTGCGGAGACCAAACGGTATTCGAAGAAATTCGAAAAGACCAAAAGGGGTGATCACTGCCGTTTTAGGAATATCATCTGGGTGAACTGGAATCTGGTGATAGGCCCTGGTTAAGTCCAGTTTACTGAATACCATGGCACCCTTTAGAGACGACGTAAGGTCATGTATATGTGGTACGGGGTAGCGATCTGGCACGGTCTGTGCGTTAAGCCTGCGGTAGTCACCACAAGGCCTCCAATCTATCCCGTTATTCTTTGGCACCACATGTAAAGGGGAAGACCACGGGCTGCTGGAAGGGCGGATTATCCCCATATCTAACATATGTTCGAATTCAGCCTTCACGGCTTGTAGTTTTTCTGGGGACAATCGCCGTGGCTTTGCAAATACCGGTGGACCAGTGGTCACGATATGATGAGTGACAGTAGACGTCACACAAGGAAGTTTAGAAACCGGTTTGAACAGATTGGCAAAGGACTGAAGAACTTCAGCGTAAGGGCCGTTAGAGGCAGGGGTTGAATATACTGGGCTTAATGCAGGTGTGTGTGTCACAACACCGGAGATCGAAAGGTTTGTAGCTGAATCGATCAGTTTGTGTTTGCCAGTATCAACCAGTAGCTGATAGTGTTGCATGAGATCCATGCCAATAATACCGGTAGTTACATCTGCCACAAGGAAAACCCAGCGAAATGACCTACGTAGGCCTATGTTAAGATCCAGGAACCTTTTGCCGTACGTTGTGACTGGCGAACCGTTTGCGGCGCGAAGCTGTAAGGAAAGTGGCCGCTTGCGCTCTTCAGATGTTGGTGGAATCACGCTAACTTCCGCCCCAGTGTCAACCAGGAAGCGTGTCCCAGTGGTACGGTCGGTAACATAGAAGAGGCGACATGGGAGTGGTTCGCCAGCGACGTTAGTCGCCAATACGTGCTGGCTTACTGGTTTCCCGATTGCTGGCCATCAAAGGTGCACGGGCGAGTGCACTTTTGGGCCTTATCACCATAACGCCGGTGATACCAGCACACTCCAGGTTGGGAATTTTGAGGCCTACGACGTCTGCTGCCAGCTCGTGAAGAAGATCTGCCACGAGTCGAGCTGGTGCGGCTATGTGAACGACCTCTAGGTGTCCTCTCCTGTTTTAACTTATCTATCTCTTCATAAAGCTTAGCTATGTAGGCCACCACATCTAATTTTGACGACCCTTCGGTAGAGGAGTCCTTCGTCTGAGTTACGGTTACAGCCATCCCGCGAACAAGACGATATATAAATAGAATGATAACAACAAATATGATAACAAAAAATATGAGTAAAAACAAGGCAAATAAAATTTATAACTCTGTGTGAAAAACAAATTACCAATATGAAAAAGGACTATTTATTTGCTACTAAGTAGGCAAACGGTGAAAACTCGGGCTCACCACTTGTAAGAATTGGACTTAGGATTTACTTCGACCTAACAATAACCGCTCTTACAAACTCCTTCACCGTTTATGACCTTAATTAGTACTCTGCCTACGTGCAGGTACTAAAGAACGGAATCAAAGTTAAAAGACTCGAAATGGCAAGTGTAACTGGACCGGAATTGTATTTACACAAAGAGATATGGAATTTGATAAGGAATAAAAAGTACACACTTATCTGGAGGTGAGACGGTGGTCAGCTCGTAGAGTGTACTAGGTGAAAGTACAGCGAGAGAGCGAAACCGAAACCGCACAGGAGGATCAGGAATATAAAGTGGAAGTGGGATTAAAGGTCAGGTTGCGTTCATTCAAACAAAAGTTCAAAGGTACAATGTACACTACACAACCATATGTGTGAAACTTAAGTACTGTGGTAGTATGTAGTTTCATATTACTGTGTTTATTAGAAATATCACATATCCAATAAGTAATACTGTTTCACAGTGATATATCTAATAAACAAACTAATATGGAATCTAATTGAAATACTTTAGGAACCTTTAAGTATACTGTACATGATTGATGCAATTGTGTGACGTAAAAGGCCAAGGTTGATAACAACAATTTAGGAACCAAACGCAGTGGTATAGATAGACCTACCTAAACAAACACAAAAAACTTTCACATTGAAACACTTGGACTCCAAACGTCCCACTAAGATTGAATAATATAGAAAATTTAAACAAAAGCACATAGTAGTCTACTTATCTATAATTTTGGTATTTCGTCACCCACACAATGTCACCAGTATATTATGAATTTCGCCCAACTCTCGGAAACATCGCTAATGCAACTGTGTACACAGTATATTCGTGTGGACACTATTCTGGTCATAGTTAAGCAATTAAAGATATTACGTGAAAGTTCACCTGAAGAACTTTCTACTCTCTAAACCGACATTGCTGGGCTAATTGCATGGTCTAAAGACAGTCTTCTAAGTCAAATCTAGACAGTCTTAATTAACTCCCTAAAATAACTGACAACGCAAACTCTTCAAAAATTGCGATGAAGTGTTCAACTGTCTGTACTTCGTAAATATACCGAGACTTCCGCCCCATAGCAAGCCCGGATACATCAAACCTCCCCCAAAACTTTAATTGGTTTTCAACAGACTGTGACAGTATCAGGTTACAACACATTTACTAACTACTATCCTGTAAATTCGAGGCAAATTTAAGCAACCTAGAATCAAAAACTGTAGAGCATCTAGTCCCACTCGTTTTCAAATTATGGTTCATTCTAAACTTCTCCGCACCACTGCTGATGCTCACACCCACCTTCACTTAGATCCTACATGTTTGCAGTGATAAATAATTTCGAACATTATTGGCCTGAAACAATCTCCACTCAGCTACACTGTTTTGATTCACTCCTTAAGGTGAAGGTTCACAGCTTAGCAACCACGCCATTTAGTGCCCTTTGGTGTTACGTCCCATAGTTCGTGCACGATCCCGAACTAGCTAACAACCATCAACGCACTGAGGTTCTGATCCTGAAATGTATCTTGTGTATCTCACATATCTATAGCCAGCAATACCAAATAGATGCCCTGTTGGTGAATTTTTCTTCACCCACATAAACCACACAGATCTAGTGAAACTATTTCTGTCTCAAAAATAAAGTTATGCGCTTCAACACGAGCTCTCGACAGCAATACTGATATCTTAGGGAGATAGATGTCGATATTGCTACTGTCTTTTATATTATTTCCATGATATCCATCGTCCAGTTTTGTGCCATAGCTGTAGGCTCAATGTCCAAAATAAATTACGCCACTCATCTCAGGCCAACCGCAGTACCCTTGAGCCAATCGGAAATAGGTTTGATGGAGGGATATGAATTAGGAAGCAAGGCGCTGGGCTAATGTGTGCACACATAAACGGCGATGCCAGGTAACAAGATACAAAAGAGCCCTCTGGGTATCCTCCTTACCCCTAAGTCTTGTTTCAACTTCGATTACCTGTCTTATTTCCAAAAGTTCAAAACTAGCATACGCAGAAGACGATCATTTGAGCACCTAACTGATATTTCCAGGTGATATAACTGACAGAATACTCGGTAGTATTTAAAGACGTACCTAAAACTAATGAGTGAAGATTAGATTCCAAAGAAGCACTGAAAAAATGCCTTCTTGGTGGAACGTGTAATTACAAGCGTATCATTATACAGACATTAAAATGTAAAGTGGACATTACCGATTTTATCTGGGTATTCCTATTTTGGCGCGTAGATTCGGTGTGTCTTCCAAATCACGCAAACCGCTGTGCCATTTATGTTTATATGAAAATATAAAATTATTATTATTATTTCCTGTGTACGAACAGCGCTCACATATATGCTGCACAGACTTTCGTTATATAACTCATCAATCTGTATCTGGCTACGCAGATACAGAAATTCACATAAGTCGTAACAGCTTGAACTCAGGCATTATTCTTGAGTAGATATGCTTATCAGGTAAGTGCTCTCTGTAACTGTGGTGGGCAGGAAAATGCATCAAACGCAAATGATCCTACACAATTAGCCGGAATGTTGTGACTACTAGAATGTTAAATTTTTACTGCAGGCAATTGATGGTTGTTCATCGCAGATTGCTACTCCTGTGATCTGATTAGTAAATGTTGAGGGTGAGTAAGCGATATTGCCCTCAGTTACTATTACTGCCACGACATCAAAGCGTTGCACAACAGTTAGATGAACCAACGTGGTATTTTTCAACTACCATAAACTGATTCGTTTTATAAACTGGCGTCTTTGACTATCGGTCGGTTTCTTTTAAAATCGACAATTTTGCACAAACTAAGTCCATGCGTTTTACTAACTGTGTGATGGTTACACCAATAGAAAGACGAAGTCAATTCAGAATTCTTTTATATGAGAACAATGAGTGATTGGAGTGCCTTCGATGGACATTGTATGGACTTAACCAAAGAGAGGTATATCCGAATGCTAAAAGGAAGCTTACTCAGTTAGGATGGAAGTACTTGCTCAACTGCATGTCACATTTCGAAAATAGTTTCTCAAGATGGGCAGCTGAACTTCTTACTTCTTTGGCAGTTTTTTAACATATCATTTTCCCTGAACTTATAAAATCAGTTTTGACTGCTCCAGTCATTTTGGTAAAATTATATGAAAGTAATACACATGAATATTATGTGCTTTTACAAGCTTTAAGCTACCCAAGACACGTGCAAATCACTGCAGCTCAGTATTTGCACGCATCATATTCGGCTGACCACAAAGTATTCTGATCCCTATCACATTACAGTTAGCACTGCTTAGAGAACTTAAAGTGAAACAGTTGACTTCAGAATAGCGCGTGCTAGCGCGGTAATAAAAGACATTTAAAGTTCTTAAATGAATCAAATTGCGTGCCACAAGCAGTAAATGAGTATTTGACTTAGTACGAGTAATATCTTCTTTCATTACTTGTGTCTTCCTATACTGCACATGCATAAAATCATCCTGTTCAAAAAGGGCAAGTGTATCTGGTGAGGTGAAGTGAGGTAGGCTGTTTTAGCGGTAACGATTCCGCTGCCAGTCTCAACTGAGTAAGCATTTTAGAGATAAACATGGATGATATTGATGAAAACACTAATACGGAATCAATCTGAAGATCTGAGAGGCTAGCAAATTAACCCAGATCGCTCGTAAGTATTCAGAACGGTATTTGACTTGTGAAGGACGTGGTGAATTTCTGTTCCTATCATCGTACTGTGTTCACTAGAGTTTGTTTTATTCATTGTAAACGCAAATAAACAGTTTGTTATCATGGATGCAAATTATTTTTATTATAGCTTGAAACCACACGGTATTTTTGGTACAAGTATGGAATTTTCAGCATGTGATATCGGTAGCCCAAATTTTTCAGGCCACCCATAGATATCAGGTGTGCGTTGGCAGGGGGTCGAACTCCGGACCATGTGCACGGTCGACCAGAGTCCTAACCGCTGTGCCACCGACACACAAATTCCTGACTTTTGTCAATTTTGCGCTGCTTTCTGTTTTACAGGCGATCAGTTATTGTTTACTACGACTACAAGTAAGTATCATGAAGATAATATACCTGCATAAGGGGAATAATTTGGTGTAAAGTGGTGTAAAATAAATAATTATCACATTGGTAGTGTAGTGTAATAATGTATACTTATCCTAACAGTATAACAGTGCTCATCCCCAATATTCAGTCCTGACTTATTTCTGATTTACAACTGTCTTCGATTGAAATGCTTGGAAATTAATGTATTGAGATGAAAATAGTGATTGTAGTCTGACATCAGTCAGCCGCATACCCAATATGCCAACGAAAATACTCCAAAAATCTCCACCTAATTGCCAAATGGCATTTAATGTAATCTGAAAGAAAACTTAGAGATTCTGCAATGACTTTAGCTCATACTGAAATTTTCCCAGGCTACTGAGACTACGGAAAAGAATTTTCGCCAAGCCAATTTTCGGATATGATGCATGCAGCCCACTTCATAATCTCTTCATGGTATTACTCAGGCGAATATTCAGTCATAATTTTTTTCCGCCGTAGTACAAGTGCTCTATTGTAATATTAGATATCCCGAAATATCTACCGCGGAGGCATCAAATGTACATATCTTATGACTGACAATAAGTCCATTTCCCTGAAGAGGTCAGAATAGGTTATCATTATGGTCTGTTACAGGCGCCAAGCGAATAACCCCTGGGGATACAGAATTGCAGTATTCGCCCAAACCGAAGTGAAACAAACTGTTCCAAAGAAACTCAACGAAATCCAAAATAGACCAAATGGTTCCAAACACAAATGAGGAAAGACAAACACAAAAACTAAATGGTTTCAAATAAAATTATATTGACAACAGAATGTTGAAGGACTGGAAGAATATCGTTCTTTTAAATGAAGTGTATCAGATAAACATGGTACTAACTTTCAAATATGAGCTTATCTGACGTTCAAACACACAAAGTACAATTGCTGTACCCTGGGTTAGTCCGCGATTAACAAATTGTTAATTCGAACATGAAATGTGCAATGGTCCAATGAAGCACAAACTGTCCAAGTAAGACGAAATACAAAATGGTATATAAAGTAAAACCTTAGAGTTTAAGGATGTATTATTAGACCCAACTCTCCGCACCAAATGAACGTTGGTTTCTTCTCCAAACAAACAATGAAATAATAGGAACGATGTATTGACACCCAGTCCGACCCGCTTATCATTCATAAACTCTTCTGGTGCTGGCGCACAAACAGGATT